TGAGCGGGGAAGCCGTTGAGACTAGATGCTCCCCAAAACTAACCGTAGTGACAGTTGCCAATGACGACAACTTTCTGCTCATCAATTTCTCCAAACCAATTGAAGTTTGGTCAACAGTCTCTCGGCGCATTGCCACTCAAACAAGTAATACAACCATGAGTTTTTGAGGCTGTTCTTTTATCCTTTATACTAGGAGCTCTTCACCTTCGCATGACCGCTTCAAAACTTCTGGTAACGGCACGTCCCATCCCCTTTAAAAAGAATAAACCACCATCACTAGCGCATCATGAAGCTTCTAAAGAGTCGATAAGGGTAAATATCTGAAAAATGTCACACGAAATGTTAACAGATTCGGACATAAAATAACAAGTTTAATGAATCTTATACCACTAGATATTGATCTGGCAAGTATAAACAGTAATCGCTTATTCTATTAACCCTTGAATTCTGATCATGAGTTATGTGCTATGTAGCTATAATTATTATCGTAACACTGTTATACAACTTGTACATCCAAATGCACAGTAAATAATTGTTACGATTGTTCTAGTAATGTGTGTTGTCATCTAACAGTATAAAAAACAAAATTTTCTAAGATCACGAGCCTACAGCGCGAGTGTCCAACTGCGACTAATACAAAACTGTTGAGCAAACGCACACTTCAAACTTTAGTTGCAGTAAACGTTGTAATTAAGAGAGACAAGCAAAAAATTTCCTCTGCCATAAGTAATAGAAAGAATATTCTCATTTGCTCCCGAAAAGAATAAATAAATGAACGAAAAGAAAGTAAATTACTGCGTTATTGAGTTGGTTTCAAAGAACATTTGGGAAAGCCAGCATTGATCAGAAAAGAATGGAAGTTATCAGTAAAAAAATTTAATGACCGTTGAATTACAAAATATAAAAATGCATAACAGTGCAAGGGTTAGAGTAATCTTTCCTTCACCACTCATATTCATTACGTTTCTGAAATCCCTAAAAGCTGTGGCGCAACACTTTCAACATCATAGCACAACGGCAAATTGCTAAACCGTGGTTTAGCTGTCCGAACCACATTCTTCCACCTGTCTGGTATGTTATCAACACCGAAACGAGCACCTTAAGTTCCAATTACTAAACCCTCTACGTTAATTAGACGAACAGCACAAGGAAGTAAACAAATCCAAAATCTACCGAGCAGCGCAGCCACAATGGCACCGTTAGTATCAGTGTCACCTCCTCGACGGATTGAAGAAATAACACCAGTCGCGAAATCCGGTGCATGTAGAAGTTCGTAAAATGCACTCTAAATTACTGAACACTGAGATATAGCCACAGGGAGTTGACTGAGTGGCAACAAACACACTGAACAGATGTAAAAAAAAGACTATGGCTGAAACAACTCAACCATTAGTTTTTCTAGTCAAACAATCGAGCAACTTTTAATTTCTACCTGGAGAGCTATTCCAATATACCCCATTGATGAAGTGTCACCATTTACTAATCCATCTCGCACTTTTACTGGTACTGCACGGTCTTTTGAAACATTCAACAAGTCCCTAACATCTTCTGTTTTGCAAATGTCCAAAGCTTTCTTATACGCATCCTATAAAATAGAAGAGGGCAGTGTAAAGTTCATTATAAAATAATACCAACTTAAAAACTGATACATACAAAGCAAAATCTAATCAATTTTTTTCATTTTCCAAGTAGTTTAGCAAACACTAAATCTTGGAAAAGATATCTAAAAAAAATTACGGGACAAATATAGCTTCAAGAAACGTTAATGCCTAGTATTAATTCTTGTTTAACATCTAATAGGAAACCCAATAATGATAAAAGTAACCTCTGGTGACTTTTCATTAACAAGTTCTCTAATAGCAAAGCCGTAAACGACTGTTGCATCAACACAGATATCATCACAGTGCGTTAAACGGCAATCAGACTCTATTGTCATCCTAGCTCTAAAACTAGACCCTTAAAACTTTTTCAAAGAAATTAGCTTACTGAAAGTGTGTGAAAGATACGAATAACTAGACTGAAGACTAATTTGAGTTTTTTAACCGAAAATCCAGTGCCAAGATTTGGCTATCAAAATTATTATTGGCCAGATAAACAAAAAATTGAAGATTAAGCTCTGTTTATTATTCAAACAATTATTATAGTAAAGATGAAGTAAAACTCACTTCTCATCAGAAAAGTTAGAAACTGCTACAGCAAGAGGAGATATTCGCATTAAGCAACCATTACTTCTAGAACCGCTGTTATACTTTTTTACATTTTCCAGTACGCGTTTCAAAATATTGTCCTTTATTTCCTGGTCTATCTTCAGCACCGAACCGTTTTTTGGAAACTCTTCTGAACTATAATAAATTTATACTCCAAAAGCCTAGAAAGTTAGAGGATTTAACTTAAAGTTAGACTTTTTTACGTAATCTCTTGGATTTTCTGAAGGTTCATTGGTTGCCCGAGTAGGACATACTCTTGAAGCCGTCAATTAACATGAAAGTGCATAGGTCATACAACTGAGATGCTAACTCTCATTAAAAATAGAAAATTTCAAAAAAAATTTTCTACTCTTTTCTTTCTGAAGAAAACAGACTCTTAAATCTCACTTCACCTCTTCTTCAATTTTTAACGAACGATTAACTGTGATTGCTAGAGACATCTTTGAAAAATATAGCAAAAGAAAACTTCAAGCATTTGTCATTAAAAATAAGATCACTTTCAGTTCAAAAACGATTAGCTATTTGTAGACACTTTTGTTCCACAAAACTTAAATGGTAAGGAGGCAGCACATTCGAAGAACTGCAATTTGGGAGGCAAAACTGGATGCAAAGCTGCAACTCCCAGAGCATTTCAGCGCATTATGAAGATGTGAGCATTCAAGAAAACCTGAAAAATGGGTGCTGACCATTTTTCAAAGTAAACACGCGCAAAACTATGTAAATGACAATGAACAATTCTAATGATGCTGCAAATTTTTAAAAAACACTTTTTTGAAATTCCAAGGAAAATTTTTCGGATTCAAAATAAATACACAACCCATCCCACACGCTCTGTGCTGTAATAGATTTCCACAAAGTTATGCAAAACCATTATGGTCTGATCCTTTGACAAAATAGATTTTTTTCTACAGTTCACTGAATTTCAAGTTGCTATAATTTACACATTCATCTAGATTTTCAAAGTCGTACAGTAAAATAAAAACAGTAAGGCTGTAAAATAATCCTTTTGTACAAAAAATTTTTACCTCTGCTGCACATCAGCTACTTTAGAAAGCCGTTCCAGGCAAATTAACGACGGAAAAAAGCATCAGAGAAAGAGCTATTTGATAATAAATGTTGTAATACTGAATATCAACTTCAAAAAACAGCTAGCACCCTGCGATGTAAAATCTGTCATCTGATCTGAGCACTAGCAAATCATATTCCCTTTCCAAAAAAGGTAGTCAGAGTTTTTCCTGATTCACTAAATTTTAATTAGCCAGGTCAGGTAGAAAATTGGCGCGAATGGTGGGTGCTCAAACCCCCTTTTTCACGGACAACACAATTACTGCGTTCTACAACAACGAGAAGAAATTTTTGCCTCAGTATTTCAAGGAACGTCTCGTTACACGTTAAGGTTTAGACCGTGAAAAAAAATGAAGACGCAGCAAAGCAAAGCTCTGTTATTCCATCCATATTAGACTTCTAAGTCCACTAAGTAAGAGCAGAGTAGCTGAAACTCTGCAGCTGTTACAAGTTTAGATAACCCTAAATTAAGAAATTCTTTTTCACGTATTATTCTGTAAGAATTTTTTTTCTTAAAAAAAAAAATTATTCGACTTTTATACACTTACTTACAGTGAGTCTTTCGCAAATTAACCAAACAAAAGAAAAACATACCGACAGAAAGAGCTGCTGTTGTAGCCATTCCAATATCTGGCGGAGAAGAATGCGACCACTCCACGTAAGCAGTGGCTACATCAGCAGCATCAAATTTCTTCAGCCTACAAAGGCTAGTCGCAAGCGAAAAAGCCATTTCGGAATCATCTGTTACCTAAACTAATTTTCCTCGCAACTAAGTAACAATTAAATATGTCGAAAAAGATTTTACTATCTGAAGTAAAAAAAATAGATTCCACCTATAACGCTTGAAGATATTGGGTAAATCCACTCATTTCTAGTACACAAGGTTGAAAGTACCGAGAATAAAAAGCCAAAAACGAGAATTATTTATATTTAGTAGAAAAGCTTCAATGAAAAACTGGTAAAATCTAATACTTGGCCTGGAGACATATTAAAGGGTCCACCTCCCAGTATGGGTAGGAAACCATCTGGCTCCGAATCCATCTTTAACATCATTTCAGTACGTCTCGCATCACTGAACTCGTAACGGCACCCAAGAGCGTCTCCGATCAACTGACCGTACAAACAACCTAACGCTCGTTTTAACATCTATAACCTGGACCTCAATAACAGGTTAGGCACTACCTAAACCGTATGAAACGACCAAAATTCGTGAACAACTTGCCGCAGAGGACTACTCAAACTAGTGGCATGTGCCTAATTGTAAAGTTCAAACCACCTGAATATAATCGATCCTACAAAATTCTTTCCTCACAATGATAAACCTTTTAAATAACGATTCTAATCAAAACTAGGTACCTACTAAGCGAACAAAACAATGGTTCACACAGAGTTAAAAGAAGAAAAACAGCCCCAGAAGAAACAAATAACGTCGTGCAAGCAGAATAATACTTTAAAAAAGACTAAATTTTCACACGCCTCCAAAAATTTCGAGTCAAATTTTGTCATGACACTCAAAGGCAAAAAACACAACGCTTCCTCATCTTATCTTCATATAAAATTGCTTTTTACTGATGAAACTTTCATATCCTTAGGTTGGTTGGAAAACTTGCCCCTAGAACTCGTTTTGCTGCAACTTCCTTGTCGCATAAAACACTCGCATTTAGACGCCTTTCCAGGAAAGCGATTTGTTTACTTCAATCAGGGTTTCCATAACTTCAAAACCATCCTGAGCAAAAAATGTCCAATCTAGTTTGGAAAAAAGCTACCAGTTAAAAACCCAGTCACCAGCCCGTAGCTTCAAAAGAAAACAACTCGTAAACAAAACCAACTTTCAAATTTCTTTTAAAAAATGAATGGAATTTCTAAACCAATGTAAATAATAAGTTATTAATGACGTACCTAATAAGCTTTCGAAAAAACTTCTTGAATGTGCCCAATTTGAAGCCGTCATCAACTGAGTCCCTCTTAAAACGCTCTATTACAGCATTTCCTAGACCGTAAAAGTCAAGGTTTAAGCATCATCCCAATTAGTGCCAGCATATGTGCTCGGGAAAAAAATTAGTAGTTTCATTTTCAAGATGTGTCTTTTCAAAATAAGGCCGTTTGCCTATCAACGGCCCACACCATGCGCTCATAACTGTGGCCTACTCGCCAACTAAGTTTCATTATAAAGTAGGATCTCAAAGATGGCTGTGAAAATGACGCCGAAGTTCATATAGGCCGACTTAATGATAAGAACAAGACGGTTTTCACAAAACTGCAGCACTAATGCTGGCTAATGAAACTTCCTATAAAACTGGAAGCAAATCTAAAAAATTGTAACATGCTGCGTGCTTAGCCAGCAACTAGGAATTTTACGCAATCTATTTTTGACGGTATGCCGCGGGGATGGAGCAGAAAAGAATGTTGTTTTTCTGACAAATACTACTCATAGCGAAAACATTGGATTAAACCGCCCAAAAAGCTGTACTTTCAAAACAGTTAGATGGTGCAAACAGCTTTTGTGTTACTTTGAGAATCAAACATGGACACCGGATCATCTTGCTTAAATGAAAGAATGATAAAATGATAAAATAAACCCTATACGGCAAGATAAAGTTCATACTTTTTTCGTCTCATCCGCTTCTTGCATCAAATAATCGGGTAATCAATAAGTGACAAAAAATTACAATGTAAAATCTTACTAATTTTAGTGCTAATAATCAGAGTACAAGTTACGCATACGTTATTTACAGTTAGTTGCTTTAATTGTTGAACGATCAAACGAGCATCTGATAGTTATACAAAAACTGCACCAAGACTACAAAGTAAACACATTAAAACTCAGAAGTGACACAAGATGCTCTGTCTAACTAGTCGTCTGGAAGATCACTAAATCAACAGCAATACGAAACAGAAGTAAATGTTTCTAACAGATTCAGATGACATGAGAGAAGTCTTTCTCAAAACATCCGCATGACTCAGCTATCAACCGTCTTTTATGTGCCGTGAAACTTACCTCAGTCTTAACTTTCGGGTTCTTACAGAGAAGCTTTCTTTATTTTTGGCAATTTTCCACTATGAGCTACTGCCTAAAGGGCTTATTTCAAAACCTTTCAAAATTTCCCCTACACCGTTTCCTTTTAGTGGCATGGACTGTACAGGTTCTGTTTGGCTGTCAGTACTTCTAGAATTATTTAATTCGCGATCTTCCAATTTTTGAAAAGTTTTTGACCATTCAGAGCTTCTGTTTTTCGCAGTGTATTTGTCATCAGAATTGTATTTGCAAGGAACTGGACTCCATTTTTTTGCGTTCTTAAGATCTTACGTTTTCTGGAAATTATCGTTTATTCGAATCCTTCCTGTGACATTACTACACGCAATTAGACGAATCAGTTCCAGTGAATCTACGTCGCAATTGCATATGGCTGGAAGACGATGATAATGCAAGGTTGACTTTAAACTGGACGGTTCTGTTGATTTATAGCCTGATTATATTTCATTAAATACCTGAACGAATCATGACTTAGACTGAAAACAACAACAGCTCTGATCACCTTTTTATTATACAGCAAAGGAGCAGACAATATTTACTAGTTATCTCTGCGAATTTTAACGTAAAAGTAGTTTTGTGAAGTTTTTCCTGTTTGACCTGAGACGAGTGAATGCAGAGTTGGAGCGGCACATCTGTGGTTAAGAATTTCATAGTAAGAAATCGCACTGCATTAAATGAACTCTTCAGAAGAAAGAGGCCGTTTACTACCACTCCCTTCCCTTTAACTTCCTCCAGTAAATGCCTGACATGTAACATAATTTACCAATTCAATCTCGTCCGTCTTTGCCGGAGTTTCGGGATCTTATTTAATGTCAACTTAATTTTAATTTCAGCTCAATCTCGTTGCATAATTAATAATGACTTATAGTTCTCATGTTACACTGCACTATACTGCACGTATATTAGGCGCAATATTAAAATGCTACTCTACAACGTATAACCAAGAAGTAAATATTTTTGGGGGGATGGAGTGATGCGGTTTTTTGAAAGTCTTATTAATCAACACCGGTCAAAATTTTAATGCTGTATTGCATCTCATCTTTGGTAGAGTATTCTTTCGGATAATCGCCTCGTTTGTTCTTTGGTCACGAAAAAATGTTTCAGTTTATTTATCAAAAATAAACTTGATCTTTACCTAGTAAAGTTGAAGAAAATTAAGGAATAGAGCAAAAGTTGTCTAAAGTAGTTCATTTAAAAAAAACTTCGAAATGAAGGGTTATTCGGAAGTTAACCTACTAAGGGTGTTTACATCAAGTCCGGTGCTATTTGGAGGTTCATTGAATAATGCAATGATTTTAATAGACGGTGAAAAATTATTTTTAATCAAGTTAAAGTAATCAGGCAAACAGTGCCCTTCCAATTAAATTGCCTTTTTAAATAAATACACTTCGTTTATCGAAGTGTAAGACGGCATAAAATTTAAATTAGAGCTCAGTAGGCTAAAGACTTTTAGATTATGTTTCTTGAACCAGAATATATTCAAGTTTATTTGAACCGTGATAGTGGTCATAATAAAGAGTTTATTCCATAAGGCGCCACATAGCGATGCAGTTCCGAACTAAGTGTTGGCTTACAGATTTGAATTAATCAAAAAGAGTGTGAAAGCGCTATTCTTTCTGCATCGACTACCGTCGCTTGAAGTATATGTGGTCGACATGCAGATTTGCTGTAACAAGTTTGCCTTTCTGAAGGACTTTATCGAAGTGATGAAGCATACGAAGCAACGGGGTTTCTTGTTCCGACGAATTCCTAGCAAACATACAGGTAGTTGAGAAACGATGTAATCTGGAAATTGTAAACAGCGAACTGGATTTGCACGATCGGTTGACTAGGTGATTAAACAACAACAACAAGAGAGAGTTTCTTGTTTTCACGCCGAAGGTTTTGATTACACTGTAAGCAACTGACTAGCAAGTAGAAAATAACTTTTAAATTTAAAATTTGTGAACAACCCACCTAGCCTCTGAAAGCTGTTCGCCGTAGAGCTTCAATAAGAAGAAAAAAGATTTTGAAAACTGGGTGTATAAGCAGACATCATAGAGCGCCAGTCTCACGGTCGGTATTTACATGCCCTTTCGGGTGACTACAGCTCTTGTCTAGACCGCGAACTTTGCCCTCCTTATTATGATTGTGCTCTCTGAATTTCAGAAACTTTTCAGAGCTGTACTTCAAGACCTTTGAAATTCCACGTTGTTGGTAATCGAGTAATTCCAGATATACAGTACTTCCGGGGGCTTTGCCTATAGGTATTTCTTTATCCGACTTCACTTTCCTTTGTTAGATGATGGTACTGTAAAAAACGCATCAGAAGTGCAATAATGGAGTAAGCACCTGTATCAGGATTTATCAAATGGTTGAGCGCTTTTATGTATGTCTGTATCGATCATTCGTGCGATGTGACGACCTGACTGGTAAAAATTACCTGAAACAACAAAAAACATGAAGTTGCGCTTTAAACTGCAACTTTTTCAAAAGTTCATAAACAAGTCAAAGTTAATTCCATTAACTACTGCTGCTGTTGTAAATTCATTACCTTTTTAGAAAATAAAAATAGATAAATATGGTAGTTTTCAGTAATGCACTGTCTGTTTGTTGCACATTTCCATAATTTTTTCTGTTCCTTGGGCGACCCTCTGTGAAACTAATGTTGACTGTAGCAAACAGGCAATATATTTCAGTTTAAGAAACCTAATCTAAAATGGTCTACTGTAGTATGCACATGAACTCAATATCTCCTTGCACCACGACCATTTCAGTGCTCTCTACCACTATTAGTCAAATTGTTTAGAAGTTTACACTGCCTCAGTTTATGTGGGACAGCGCTGGAACAGATCATTTTTAAGGCAACTTGCTGTGAAAGGTTGCTACTCATTCGAAATAGCACTTGATAATGGGAAAAGCGATGCTTGCACGGTTTTTAGCAGCAGTTACAGATAGTTCTTCTCATAGGAATTTAAGTTTATGGCCTTATTGCAACGCTTAATGATTGCCTGCTGAGGTCTGATCACCTAAAAATGGCTCACTATGAAGCAAAGCAATGAAGTCACAGTAATTATTGAACCTTCAATTTTTGTTGCCACCTGACCAAAAAACATCTTTTGGTTAAGCTCTTCACCTTTCTTTTGTTGTGCATGTTTATGACAGCCTATTGATAGGGAACTACAAAGTCTATTTATACATATTTGTCCTAGCTTCGGCTTTCTTCATCACTTAATGTTGTAAGTGTGCTGTACCTATTTATAAAAATCACGATTTGAAACCACTCTTCCTTAATCTAACGATTGATCAAAACTGCTTCGACAGCATTACAGCAAAGAACGGGCTCATCAAATTTTTTGAGGCAAACACCTGCTTCCTTCATTATTCGTTTACTCCGATGATTTTCAAACAATCAGAGAACTGGTGCCCTACAACTACAGTCTTACTGTCAATGCAGGCAGAATGACACGTAATTTTCACTTTAATTATGGGAGAGGCTGCACAGCAAGCACTGTTAAGTAAACGCTGCTAGGAAACAGGCCATTTGAGGACAAATCTAGTACGTTTCCTCATTACTAAAACATGATAGTAAACCAGTTAGAACAATATCAGTTCAATATGGTTAAATTCAAGAAATGAGATAAACTTTTATTGTTCATCGGAAAACCTCTAATCAGACATTTCTTTCACTGAGTAAAAGCGTTAGTAAAAGCATTCTGCAGAAAGTATCCTATGCGGTACTGTGCTCGACGTTTGCTCACTGCTTCTCACTTGGTTAATTATTCATCTTTCTTTGGATTATAGTAGCTTGGGTCCCAAAAAAAAAAA